GAACTTTTTTGAAGAGATGGTTTCATCGATTGCCATGGGACGAAAACCAAGTAACTAGTGTTAGAGAAGCATCTAATGGGAGTTTATGCGGTGCTATCACTCCCGTATAATGTATGCCTCAAGTTAGTAGTCAAGTTATGGAGGTTGCAGTCATCTAGCATAAGAAAATTAGGTCGTCGCTTAGAATTTCAAAAGCGTGACACTTCATCAGGAAGCAACGCTCTTTGATTTAAAGGGGCCCTTGGTATGGAGAGAAGGTCCTGGGCCCGGGGGGCGGGCGGGGCGAGGGGCCGGGCGCGCCAGCCCGGGGGGCGATGACCGCAGCGCAAGAGTCACTCCTGCATTTAAAAACGCGTGCTTTAGCGTAACGGCTTAGAACTTGGAGCAATCTTCAGCTCCAGCAGCGGCTGACAATGCTCTGGTGCCTGTGGCCTTGCTCCTCTCAAATGCTCACTGGTCTCCGTCTGATCATAAGCGTTCTATTGCTTATTTCCCTTTTTTTCTTCGCTAGCAAGTTGATTAGCGTTACAGTTTCATATTTACAGTAGCGTTCAGTATTTAAACTGGTCAAAAGTGTTCGCCGAAGTGGCTTTTCACGCAGAACCATTTTTCTCTCAGAAATAGCTTTACAATTGGCTACGAATTTTTTCTTTTGAATATCTTAGGCCTCTAAGACTCGAGAACACGAAAATACCAAAATGCCCAGCATATCACTATTTTACGCAAATTCTACAGGGGAGTGAAAATAGCGTACGAAATGCATTTTCGGAGAGCACTTTTGGCCGCTACTGTACATAGATCCTCATTCCCCCGTTTTTCTGTCGCGGAAAACACCTATAGGTTGGAACACATACCTCTTCCTTCATTGTTTTGATCCCATCGCGTTCATTTACGGTGTTATTCCTGAACTACTAATCTAGTGTTCCGGAACCATTTATTATCCTTACTAAATATAAAGTGCTGTGTGTTATGTGTGTGCTGTGAGGATGTGTGTCATTAAATTCGGTACTACCCGTCCAGTATCGTCGAAAAAAGGCGTAAAGCTCACAATTATGTCATGCGGGAGGAGGAGAAACCCGGTCCGGGACGTCCTGGGCGGAGCGTCCATTAGGTGGGCGGCGCTCAATAAAAAGCTCATAATTTCCTTGGAGGGAGGGTGAAATGTTAATGGCGAGCGGACTTACAACCGAGCTTATAATTCTTTACAAGAAGCCTTGGAGAGCTGGAAAAAGTGGATAGAGTGTAGCAACGGGATTGAGTTCAACTGGTATTGGAGGGTGGGAGTGCGCTAAAGTGGGAAGGGTTTTCTACCAAACATTATAGTTAGGTTCCAAGAGGGCGCCGAGGTTAAAGAAATGGCAGTGGAAAACGTTGACAAAGAAGGGGGATCAAATACTAGTGGTGGATGGAGCATGTACCGATGGGGGTGGAGTTTGCCACGAAGCGTTATAAAAATATCGATGGCCTCGTTTTATATCACTAGAGTCCTGTCTGATGAACGCGAACGCGTGCGCAGCCAAACTGGCCACCAGCTAGGATTGGTCTACTGGCCTCCTAGCTGGTGATCGTTACCTTCAAATAACCGCATAAAGACTGACTGTATATTATAGACTAGTGAGTATAGATTGAAAGATGTCTGTATATTTATCAAATCCTGCACTTGCAGATGTTCAAAAAATGCGTGATTGTTGTCACTCCACGCTGTTATTTTTTACAAAATGTCAACAACAATAATAATTCCATTTCTATGTCGCACATTTCGCAGTTGGTGTTTCGTGATTTCGGCTTGAGTTCACGATTTATTCCAGAATCGTTATTGTATTCTGCTCACTAGTGCATGTATTCAACAAGGACTTAGTTGTTAAGATAGAATCTTCGTCTGATTACCATGCACATATGGTAGGTACACTGTTGTATTTGAACCTCTTGAAGTAAAACTACAGGCTTTCCTTTTCAACTGAACAAACCCTTTCGAACAAATTGATACTTGGCACGCAAAAATGAGAGCAGAGGTGCGAAATGGACCAGAAGAGAAGACAAAGGGAAGGAATAGGCCGCAAACGATAGAATTAGGGCTTCCTTTTTTCAACGAAAATCAGCGAAGGCAGTCGTGCGGGGCAGTCGAGGGACAAGGCCCTGCAGTCTTGGTTGCGCACACTGTGCTCTGTACTACTCACCAAAGGGATTGATCCGCCTGAACCTGTCGAATATGCCTTTTAGTCTTATCAATAGCACTGAATAGGAATACTGAAAATGGTATTGTGAAAATAAAGCGATGAAATGCAACTTTCCATTTGATAAAAGTGTAATTTTTCGTCAGTTTCCAAAATTGTGGAAATCTCACCTTTAGCAAAACCCGAAAAATGCCTATGTTGATCTTATTCTTTATCTTTCATTAGTAGAGAAGAGTA